CCCGCCGCGGTGCTTGTGCCCCGGAAAATCAGCCGGCTCCCCCCGGCAGGCGGGTACGATCGGGGAGGGCACGGAGACGGGGTCAGGCAGCCGAAGGCGAGACTTTTTTAATTATTTTTTTTTGATTCTCACCTTGATACTGGAAGCCCCAAGAGCACCTTGCTACCGCTAAGAAAATATATAAAAAAGTAAGACTGGCTTTATAAACCCCATGCGAAACCCAGTGTTACAATGTAAACCATTTCCTGCATTTCAAGTGTTAGCTCAAAGATACTAGTAACTTATGTAGGAGCAATATAACCTATTTCAGGAAAGTTCTTATTTAAAAAAAAAAAAAAAAAGTAAAAGCAATGAATCCGATATGTTCTAGAGCAGTTCCACCTTTGTTGTGTTTGTACCTAAATATACACATATTACCTGCGTTCCTCCTCTGCCTTGTTGGAGGAGGAATTGAGGCTGCTTTATGCATTTCACCAGTGTTACCCCATTTGAAGCTACAGCCAGAAATTGTAGTTGTGCTTTTAGCTTTTACACTGCTGATATTTTTTTTTAGTAAAAATTAGGTTGACAAGAATAAATTTATCACATTTACCTTGGGAAATAATTAGAAGATGGAAAGTTTTTGCTATTGTTGATACAGATTTATTTGTATTTGAAAGCGATAGGACTAAGTAAAATTAAAAGTAAAGTTATTATGTTCATAATCAGTATTTGCGTTTCATAGCTCCCTTGTGGTGACCTCAGTGTCTCTTTGTCATTTGTAATCTTAATTTTACAGCCTGAAAATTTTGATTTATATCATCTTCATAATAACTGTCTACCTTTTGGAAAACTTTCAAAATTTTGAGTTTCATTTAGTCATTTATTTGGCATTTTTAAATGTCTTACGATATTTTTAGGTTTGGGATACAGCTGTTCCTTCTGAAAGGGTCGAAACATCCCTGAGAAAAGCACCGAGTGGCTTTGAGACATCAGAGGTGGCAGACTGCCTTTCATCAGCTGTTTGGAGGCTGGTTTAGAAGAAAAGATCTTTAAATTTTGCTGCAGAGCAGGCTTCCCCAGCATTGCCTGTGGAAATGCAGTCTTAAAATATGGTTTCATTCCCATAAAGTTATTAATTTGATGTGAATTTGGCTGATCTCCTAAGGTTCTTGATGGCAAAGCTGGATGATAAAGGGTTGATCCTGGGATGCCATGCACAAAATTGCAGAGGAGGTAATGCCATATTCCCCCGCACAGTGGGTGTAGTGTCACATGAGGCCATAAGCTGGAAAGGCTTTTTAAAACTTCATGGTTCCACACAGCGGTGGGTAAACTGTTCTCAATGTGATAAAGCTTAGAGAAATAGATGCAGAGGGTGACTTGTGGGTACTTCGTCAGGAAACTGTAGATTTTACTTAGGCAGCAATGGTCAGCCTCATTACAAGGAGAATAGTTTGAGTAGAGGATTATGTAGCCAATGTCTTCATAGGTATAAGTAACTGCATCCAAATAACCTCCTGCCTCAAATAACATAGATTCTGGATGGCTGTCTTGGTCAGTACAATTGGTAGCATGGCCTTTTTGGACTAATGTGCCTGACAATAGCCTCAACTCGTAGAAAAGAAGGTGTTTGTTTTGGAGGCTTGTTGCCCTGTATGGGAATCCAAAGGCCCTGTGGAATTCTACATATGGGACTCGAGATTCCTCACCTGTCCGTATATGATAGGGACACTTAGCACAGTTTGGATTTGGTGTCTGCCAGTAATAGGGCTTTACTACAGTCCCCTGCTTTGTCAAATATTCCTGGAAAATTATCTTCTCTTCTGGGCTCATATTCTCTTGAAAAATCTCCCTGATCATGTGCTGTTTGGATGACAGTCCTGGGGGAAAAGAGACAGGGAAGTAGTGTCTTAATTCAATCTCGTTTTGTTCTGCACGTATACTGCAAAAATAACAGGATTGTCCCTCCAAGGATACATTGAAACTTATAGCAGGTATAGAAACTTGCAGCCTAGGATTTTTTTTTCCATTTTTTTTAGACTAGTCGTTTTATTAGGAACATTTTTTGGCTTCTTCCTTCTTACCCTGATTGGGGAAAAAATGTATTATAAAACACTAAGCTTCACAATTTAGTTAGTAGATAAGCTTTTGCAATCTGGCCAAACAATCAAATAAAACCAACAAAAAAGGTGTACTTACCATTTCAGCAGCTCCAGATCAGGGTGCCAGTAAATATGCAGCTGATTCCCTTTATTACCTTTTAGAATTTTTTGGAGTTCCCACTTAAGTGAATATCACAAATATTGTTTTCCAAATTACTTGGTCAAGAAGAAAATTATTACTTTATTTTTTGCTCTTATTTTAAAAGAGCAGTCTTAGAAAAGTATCAAGTGCAGCAACTTTTCTCCAGTTCTAAGGGTGATGGGGGGCAGGCACATTTTAATGTTTACAGGTGTCAAATGCTAGGAGACGCGAATATAAATAGGACTTTCTTTTGTACCTCAAACCATGTGTGGAGTTTAAGTAAGCTTCTGCACTCTGCCTGTAAATATGCTCTTTCCTACTTAAGTTACTAAGCTTTTGCTGCTTCTTTACAGACTTTTTGAGAGAAGATTTTTGTAGATACTATTTTAATGGTTATGTTAATTTGATTTCAGGTCACTGTTATTTCTTGTAGTGCCAGCTGAGCAAAAAACCTCCTGTTGTACTTGGTGTAATGCACAGGCCATAAAGTTATCCCTTCTTAGTGAGCTATGTGTGTCCCTCATTGAAGCTGTAAAACAAGGAAGTAGTGGGACATACAGTGAGTGTGCTAAATCATGCTTGTTCTGCTTGGGCAGGGCCACAGATGACCGCAGATAGAAGCTCTGCAAAGGTGAACAACTTCTGACTCAAGTGCTGAGGTAGGTGATTGTTTTTCTTTACTGCCACTTTAACTGAATCACTCTCCTATATTAGGTTCAATTCGGTTGCTGCTTTTCTGATTAGGCACAGTTTTTCCATTCCTAGATGCATGTTTTATTTATTACAGCTTTCTTCAACTTTCCATGTGTTTTGTCCTATGCCTATCATTATTTCATTTTCTGTTTAAATTAACTAGCTTAATTCATTTGCTTTGTTTTCCACTCCTGACTTTATGCCAACTTCCGTGTATTTTCCCATGTTGGAACTCTTCCCTAGCTGAGGCTATTGTGCTGTTTGCATTCAGATTATGTCTAAAGATTGGTTTCCTGACATCAGGAACTCTGTATTTGGCATTTTGGAGTTTCTTTACGTTTTTAATGCTCAGTTGCATTCTGCAGTGTGCATTGTAGTGTAAATATGGCATTGACTTGGTGACTGTGCCTTTAAAAAAGGAGAAATGCTACCAAACATAGGAAAAAAAAAAAAAAAACACGTTTGAAGACAATAGTGTTTTTGTTAGTGAAGGGACATTGGGGGAGCTATCACCACCTCTTTAGTTCTTCTGTGGTTTGCTAATATTATTAAAGATGATATAAAAAGCTACAAATGTAGGGCAGGGTTCTAATATACTCTGTCCCTGCTGATATTCTTGTACAGCTGGAACGGCCACATGATGGCAATATTGCACACCAGAGACCTATCACAGTTTCTATTGGAATTGAGGCACCAGTTCTCGCTCTCTTCCATTATGCTTAAAAAGATGCCACGACACGGACCTTAAATTTTACATCTCCCTTTAAAACTTGGGTGCTTTTTTTTTCTTTTTTTTTTTTCTTTTTTTTTGTGATTTGGCCTGGTCCCAGGCTTCTTGGGCTTTTCAGCTAGCAGCCTGTATCCTACCAGAAGAGCTGGCAGTGAAACCAGGAAGCTACCCAGCTTTCTGGGTTAATTGGAGCCATCCTCACACAGCCTGCGAGGGCCTTTCTGTGTGAGCTGCAGCAGCCTCTGGCTCGTTTGCCAGCCGTGCTGCTGTGAGCCCACTGGGCCCTACAATGACAGGCTCCCTCGCTCCACTGCTTCAGGCTGGAGCCTCCGCAATGGTTTGAATCTTGTGCCAGCTCTGAGGAGCAGAGATGGTGGGGGAGCAGAATCCCAATGATTTTGTGAATACAAACAAGAGAGGCTTCTCATGCACCATGTACACCAGTGCTGTACCAGATTACTGTGCCTCTGTAGCGGAAGGATTTTTTTTTTTTAAAAAAAGTCAAGCGAAATGGAAGAAAACTGACCACTCATCACATTTGTATAAGAGCTCCCACTTCTAATTTATGAGAAGGAGCAAAGGTGTTGATGTTTTTTTAAAACTAGAAAACAAAACAAAAATCGGTGCAAATGCATTATATAAGTTCTTTTAAATTGATGTATATGTATACGTACGTATGGATTGTGCGTATGACAGACACATGGATTAAACAGCCAATGGGAGCCCTTCATTCAGGTCTCTTGCAGAAAAAAATCCATTCCCACGTACAATTTTGTTTAGTAACATTGAACAGCTCTTAAACATTTGTCATCTTCAAAGCAGTTTATAAATCTGACCAAGAGGTTAAAACATGGAGTGGTCTAATGATTCTCTTTTTGGTATTTCTGCTGCCTAATGACACTTAGATCCTATGCAGGGGGAATTGTTAAACTGGCTCCTGATTTTCAGGGTGCATAATTTGTCACAATGGTTCTCATGCTTTTGTAGAGATAATCAATACTGCAGAATATTGCTGACATTAATAGATATCTAAGTCTGAAATTGGGATTTCAGACTGGAAAATCGGAAGTGAAAGCATGCACTTCCTCCTTTTGGTAATTTTGTTCTTGATTTCAGTGTTTGCAAATTTTTTTCCCCAAAAATATTTTCTCTAGTACCTTGCATAGGCACTAATTACTTATAAAGTGGACTCTGGCATTGCATGGTGTTGGGCATCTGTTGCATTGCATTCATTTACTATCATTTAAACAGTGATAGACTTTTTTTTTTTTTTTGAGCTGAGAGTGTGCCCAGCGTCTTCCCCTATATTAATCTTCTTTGTTCTCAGCACATAGCCCTTCATGAGTCTATCGCCTGCTCCCCATCCTCAGAAGAAATGTACGATTTTTAGATGTGCTGCGTGTAGCAAAGGGTAAAAGATCCCTTAACATTCATTGCATCGTTAATATTAAAAGCTGTTAAGGGAAAATACCTTGTTCTTCGTCATCTATTAATTTCACTGCATAAAACACCATCCTGTTATAAAGTATTGTGTCTATTAAATGACGATTAAGAACTCAAAACACATGTTAAGGAATGAAACAGACCCTGTGCTCCTCCCCTTACTCCCCCCACAAAACCCCAGGATATAATTACATGTTTATACAAATTGTTTCACTTACTGCTGAAATGCAGTCATCTGTGGGGCAGAGGGCAGGAGCCCTTTAATGGAGCTCCACAACAAGGTATAAATGCTCACAGGAGGAACTGAGGAGGGAAGCTGTATCCAGCTAAACCACAGGGGAAACTTATGTGGTCAGAATGGAATTACTCCTGTTGGAAGATAGCCAGGATATAGGCCATATGTTCTGTTCCTATGGTGGAAAAAAAAAAAAAAAAAAAAAAAAAGGGCGGGGGGAAGGCACAAAAAGCCCAAAATGATCAGGGTAATACAAATATTAGCTAAACCTGGTATCACTTCAGGCTAAGAAACATACAGAGAATCTGATGCATCTCAAGGTGGAAGACTATGACCTGATTCTGGTTCTATTGATCTAAACTTGTGATTCTGTGATTTATGAAGATATATTTTGTAAACAAGGATATATGCATGCATTAAAGACCTATGTGGTATTAGGCTTTTTTTTTTCCTGAGGTGTCATTACAGAGAGAATTTTTTTTTTCCATTAATTAACTAAAATGTATCTACTTTAATAATTTAGTAGTTTTGTTTATGCAAGGGTGCACCCCTGCCCTGAAAAATACTGCACTCTGGACAAGAATGTTTTTTTTTCTTTTTTTTTTTTTACTGCTGAAATAGGAGTGTTGAAATTCTGTTGCATTTCTTAGTACGGCCTGATTCAAAATAATCTCTGCTGGAAAACGTTTTACACATGACTTCATTCAGTAAGAAGTTTATCTGAGTTCAAAGTACAGAAGAGTCACATGGTCCTCAAACAGCCAGAGACTTGATGTTCTTGTGCAGTCGTAGGATTTAAAAAATAAGAAGGGAAGAAATAGAATGCTATCCGAATCTGCTCATGAAATGTCTACATGGGCAGTTTAAACATTAGCTGTAAAGAGTGCTGTAGGCTAATTTACCTTTATGCTCAAAAATATGAAGTTCATTTAGCATTGAGTTTCAGGGCCTGAAATCTG